AGGAACACCACTCCCGTTAAGGTGAGCACGAAGGATAATCTCGTAACTATTTAATTGGCACCGTCTGTGGGAAACTACTGAACAAAAAAGCTATGTCAAGGAGACGGACTAGGAATGAAACACGCATGGTCGGGAATAGGCGGAGATGGAGTCGAAGTCTATCGCAAGGGGTCACACCCGTCACTGCCACTATATTACGTAACCCAGAGCCAATTAGATGTATATGAGACACAATTGGCAGTCATGATGACCTTCTTGCAAAGTCAAACGCAAAAAATCGCAATCCCTTCGTAGAGTTCGTCGAACACCGTACGTAAGCAATCACCCCATGTGGCTCAAATAGTTACCTCGCATGTTACTCAGCCAACAAAGGGAGACATGGGGGCCTTAGGTTTTGTGTTTCCACTTATTCCCCAACCAGTAACAAACTTGGAAAAGAAGATAGAATAGATGATGACTCGAAAGATAGATGATGCATTGACCAGGAGGAAAGATGTCCAAGGCTGATGAGCCGGGTAGTGGCATTGAATCGGTTCATGAGTCGACAGCATATAAATTCTACGACTTCTTCAAGGTGATTGGAGGCTCTACCAACTTTAAACGGACAAAGGAGTGTGATGAGTCGCTGAAATCCTTGAAGCAGTCATTGCAACAGCCACCAGTCTTGACTAGGCCACGCCTTGGGGTTGTGCTGAGATTATACTTAGCAGTGTCGAAATATGCGGTCAGTACAGTACTGGTGAAAGAGTTTCCAAAGGTCCAAAAGCCGATTTACTACGTTAGCCAGGTGTTGAGAGGCACAGAAACTCGATATAACAGTTGCTATTCACTTTAATTGTAGCAGTCAGAAAATTAAGGCCGTACTTTCAGTCACATACCGTACAAGACATGACCGATCAACCTCTCAAGCAAATTTTGCATCGCCCTGAGACATTGGGCATGATGTTGAAATGGGCAATCGAGCTAAGCAAGTTCGACATTGAGTTTAGGCCATGAACGGCCATCAAGGCGCAACCGTTGGCAGATTTTACCGCAGAACTAACAACACCGCCTGACTACCCCCTACAAACAGAAGTTGTTCGAAAAAAATTTGTGGATAGATCCTCGCATGGCGAGGGGTTCGAATCATGTGTCATTATAATAGGACCAGAATCTGAGGAGTTGGAATATTCGTTACGCTTTGAGTTCCCTACAACAAATAATGAGTATGAGGCAGTTGTCACGGGCTCGAGTTTGGTAGCCAGACTTGGGATAACATCAATTGAAATATATAGTGACTCTTAGCTAATCTCGAATAGGTGACAGGTGAATTCGAGGTAAGGGATGGGAAGATGGCATCCCATCTGATGAAGGTTAGGGACTTGCGAATGGGGTTTGCTAGATACACTCAGAGATCTGTAGCAATCACCTGGGGACGGCTACCCTTGTTTTCAAAGCTCTCCGACAAGGGTACTACTGGCCTATGATGAAGGAAGATGCCAAGGAATTGGTAAGGAAGTGTGACACGTGTCAACATCATGGAAATTTAATTATGTTCCCGTCGAGCAGCAGCCAGCCATTTTTGGGGTGAGTCCTTTCTTTCAGTGGGGAATGGATATTCTGGGACCTTTGCNTCACGGAAATTTGATTCATGTTCCTGCCGAGCAGCAGTCATTCATTTTTGGGGTGAGTCCTTTCTTTCAATTGGGAATGGATATTCTGGGACCTTTGCCCATGGCTAAGGGATAGCAGAAGTTTTTACTGGTTGCCATTGATTATTTTCCTAAGTGGGTTGAAGCGGAGCCTTTGGATACCATTACCACGGCGAAGGTACAAAGCTTCCTCTGGAAAAACGTAATATGTAAATTTGGTATACCAAGAGTCCTTGTCAGTGACAACGACGGGCAGTTTAACAACCACAACTTCAAGGCTTTTTGTTCAAGTTATTGCAAAGGTCACAGACTCACCTCGGTGGCTCACCCTCAATCTAATGGGAAGGCAGAAGTCACAAACCGAATGACCTCAAAATGAGATTAGAGAAAGAAAAAGGGCTTTAGGCAAATGAACTACCTAACGCATTGTGGGCATATCACACCACCTTGCCGTTGGTCGATAGTCGACCAGCAGCTAGGGGTTGGTGGTGAGTTTTCAAAACCAAAAATTGTTAAGGCTCAAAATCACCAATCCCGGTGATCAACATTGTTCGACGCATAGCGATGAGCAAAAAAGTCAAAAACCTGACTAGCTCAAAATCTTTAGGGACTGGTAGTGAGCTCTCAAAAACCAAAAATGCTTAAATCTCAAAATCACCAAGCCCGGTGATGAACATAGCTCGGCGCATGGCGGTGAGTAAAAAAGTCAAAAATCTGACTAGCTCAAAATTGTTAGGAGCTGGTGGTGAGCTTTCAAAACCAAAAATGGTTAAAGCTGAAAATTACCAAGCTCGGTGATCAACATAGCTTGACGCATAGCGGTGAGTAAAAAAAATCAAAAACCTGTCTAACTCAAAATCGCTAAGGGCTGTGGTGAGCTCTCAAAACCAAAAATAGTTAAGGCTTAAAATCACCATATCCGGTGATCAACACAGCTCGACACATAGCAGTGAGGAAATAAGTCAAAAACTTAACTAGGTTGATCGCTAGGGGCTGGTGGTGAGCTCTCAAAACCAAAAATGGTTAAGGCTCAAAATCACCAAGTCCGGTGATCAATATAGCTCGACGCATAGCGGTGAGTAAAAAAGTAAAAAACTTGACTAGTTCAAAATCGCTAGGGGTGGTGGTGAGCTTTCAAAACAAAAAATGGTTAAGTCTCAAAATCACCAAGCCCGGTGATCAACATCACTCGATGCATGCGCGGTGAACAAAAAAAAGTAAAAAACTTGATTAACTCAAAATCGCTAGGCGCTGGTGGTGAGCTTTCAAAATCAAAAATGGTTAAAGTTCAAAATCACCAAGCTTAGTGATGAACATGGCTCGACGCATGGCGGTGAGCAAAAAAGTAAAAAATTTAACCAGCTCAAAATCGCTTGGGGCTGGTGGTGAGCTTTCAAAACTGAAATGGTTAAGGCTCAAAATCACCAAGCCAGGTGATCAACATCGCTCGGCGCATGGCGGTGAGGAAAAAAGTCAAAAACTTGCCCCGCTCAATTTCTACATTTTGGTTTAAAGATTTAGCTGACCAACATGACATTTTGGGGAAATCGGTTGGAAATCTTGAAATTCAACTGAATGAATCGAAATACTTGACTCGAAAGGAATTTGGGTACAAGGGGGAGTGTCGTCGACGAACTACCCGCAACCAGCCATGGGGCTAGTCGACAGGGGTTGACCAATAGTTGCGTTGCTAGTTGTCCCTAATCGTCAACCAGCAAGGCTAGTCGACCCCAATCCGAGGTCGGTCGACCCATCTGAAGATGGATCGGTCGACCGTCTGCCCCCTCACTCTCACTTTCGTCAGAAGATGAAGAAATGGAAGTTTTATATATTATGAAACAGGAAATGAAGGAAGGAAATGAGAGAAATTACCTTGAGAGAGGATGAGAAGAATGGAAATTTTGATAAATGAGAAGAGGGTGTGAAATAAGAGAGCGCACACCTCTTAAGAAGCTATCCCTTATCGATAGACATCGATAAGGGGTAGAGGGGCTAGTGATATAAGATTACATTAATAATTCTCCACGATGGTCATTGAGGTAAGAGCTAATTGATATGCACCCCACGTAGAGCACCATATGATAGGTCACCTACTACTATAAAGAAGTCAACCCTCATGGGGCCGCCTATCACCATGAGGNAGCTACTTGATATGCACTCCACGTAGATCACAATATGATAGGTCACCTACTACTATAAAGAAGTCAACCCCCTGAGGCAGCCTACCACCATGAGGCCCTCTACGTTCACATATGCCATCTACCATTGCGAGGCTGTCAACCCCCATGAGGCCCTCTACGTTCACATAGGCCATCTACCATTATGAGGTCGTCGACCCCATGAGGCCTTCTACGTTCACATAGGTTGTCTACCACTATGAGGCCGTCAACTCCCATGAGGCCATCCACGTTCACATACGTCATCTACCACAATGAGGCCCTCTACGTTCACATAGGCCGCCTACCGCCACAAAGCCCTCTACGTTCACATAGACCGTCTACCACCATGAGGCCGTCGACCCCCATGAGGTCCTCTACGTTCACATAGGCCGCCTACCACTATGAGGCCAATGCTACACTTAACCCTACAAATGGCAATGAGTTGGACGAAAACCACCCAACAGCGAATGTGGGTACCAACCACTTGAAAAGTAGAGGTCACGCTACCAGAACATGGGGAAAGTGGGGAGGTTTACGTGGGACACGTGGTACCAGCAACCGCCGAACGTATAACAACAGGTGTCTATAAGTGCCTCCAAGATGAGAAAGGTAGCGGCTTCTTGAAACCCGAACTATTTGAATTCTTATATTCACTCTACTTACTTCCTAAAAATCGACTACTGATTCTCACGCCGGAGGTACAACGGGGGAAAAAGCCCCGATCTCATTTTGCAGGTAGCGTACACTGATCGGAGTGCTCAGAACACCACACTTGTTAAGGTGAGCACGAAGGATAATCTCGCAACTATTTCAATATATATAGAGCATGTTTGGTGCGGATTACACATGGAAAAAAGAGATTTTTTGCCCGTTAGGTATCAAAAGTGGCCGTCCTTTTTGACCACTTGTGAGTGACGTGGGACCTGCCTGCCAAAAGCAACGGTCAAAAAATGGCAAAAAAATGGAAGAGAAAGGCCGCATCAGACATGGCCATAGTATCATGGCAAACATTTCACATGCAAGAAAAGGCATTTTTAAATTTATTCATAATCGACATAATTTCGTATACGATGCTCATAGTTCACATAAGACAAGACCAAGTTAACTACAGAAAGGGAAATTCGGATAAGCAACATAATAAATGATCCTAAACAGATAACAACAAACTAAAACAGCTACAAGTTCTTACTCTAATTCGACTCTCATGACATCAAGAGTAAGCCAAGAATGGAGTGGCAGAATTTATCCCGGAATTGAACAAAGTGGCAGGTGTAGGTGTGCTAGGCTCAAACCAGCCAAGTTTCTCAACGAGTATCTTGATTAGATCTCCCATTGCATAGGCAACACCAGAAACAGCAACTGCATTGCTGACATAGTACGAAATTGTTTTGAAGTATGCAATAAATCTGTGTTCCCCTTTACAATAAGCCTTTCCAATTGAAAGTAGAATTATGCATATAAGAGAAGCTACTGCAACTGCTATAATCGTGTAACCTTTATTGCCAGTCTTCTCAAATGCCAAGCCGTAAACTGCAGGAGGGATTAGGCCAGATAGAAGGAATGATAGAATGGCAAAAGTGAAATGGAATAGGAAGCTCTCTCTCTTGCCAATTTGTTCTTGGTATCTATCTGTTTGTTCATTTGAGTCTGGTACTGGACACTCATTCTTCATGTCCCTCAGCTGCAAATTTCACGGAAGTTTGACGATTAAGGAAATAAAAATATGTCAATGGGAAAATGTTGCCATATATTATGAGCACAAGACAATACTAAGTTACTCGACAAAATATTCTCGTAACTTCAGTTGAAGGCTTGTCTCGCTACAAAGTGGCTAGAGTCCTAGAATGCTAATTCTAACAGGGCTTTTATAGTTCTTATGTTAGACCATGCAAGCAATTCCACCACACAAACTATTCAATATTTAGCCCCCGTTTGAGCCCCATTTTTGGGCGGAAATGTGTTTTGGAATAGTGATTTTTTTTAAAGAATATTTAGTTAAAAAAATTTTATGGGAAAATGCGGCTCAAACAAGGGCTTACTAAAACAATAGCCATAGAAAATATAATTACTCACATTATGAGCAATAATGAATACTCCACTTATCACATTTGCCAATGCAAGAGCCACAATGTTCACTGCAACAAAAGTAACGTGTAAATAAAATCTATATGTTTTAGAAAGATCACTAACTACTTGATCTACAGATTACAGTTATAACTATGTATAGCGAAAGACTTACTTGTGGCAGTTTCAGAAGCAGCTGCAGATGACACTATACTTAAGCTTGTGATTGATTCCACTAAACCTCCATAAACAATACTCTTTAGAATTTCTAACGATTTCGAACCATGTTCCAAGTATCCTGGCTCTGAAGGCCCTCCTGCGATACGTATTGATAACTATTAAATGGAATAATTAACAAGAAAACTAATTTCCTAGTGTAATTACCTTCACAATTTTCAGATTTAGTATATAATTTGATCCTGTTTCATTTCACTATCTGGTTTCCAGCATATGGTGTCTAATGATATGTCTTCCAAGTGTCAATATACAAGAACTGTTTTGCTTATAATTCACATATTTATATTCTAATATTTAGGAAATTGTGATCAAAGTAGTGTGAATAGTTGTCTTAAAACACCTATGGTTGCCTAAAAATACTCTTCTCATTCTGATAAAGTCCAGAGACTTGATTTGTGTTTTAATTTATTTCGAGCCTCTAGCATATTAAGAAGGATTTCTTCTTGTTCTTCGTTAGGTAGATTCCTTCGGGTAACGAGTTTGATCTTTGAGTGCGTGTAATTTGTGTTACCTCCTCATTATTCCCAACCTTTCCGTTGTCTAGTTGTTCTATATTGCTTGCTGTTTACCTGGTTCCGCTCCAAAATCAACTATGTGATCTCCATCTGAGTTAGATCCTCCTTTTGGAGAAACTTGTGGATGCTTTCCAAGTTTATTGGGCCCACCGGTCGAATCAGTTGCAGATCCCTCGGATGATGGAGTTCCATACGGTGGACGAGGACTAGCATTTAGGCGAATTAGTGCTTCGTTATCGTCTTCCTCCCCTTTTTCACTGTGATCACCATCTGTGAAAACATGTTGAATATGAAATATTTTAAGCAATCTTCTAGTTTATCAATTGACAACAAAATACATGGATTACATGTAATATCTAGGACATATAGAAAATTGATAAGACTAAAAATTTATTGAATATTAAATTATTTGTTCGACCTGTCATCTGGTTGGCCAACCTAATTACAAAAATATTTATAAAGTCCCCGTTTGGCCCCCATTATTTCTTGTTATTTCCCATTAATTCAACCTAGTCAACTCACTTTCCTTGACGTATACCCTCATTTACTAAAACTATTGATGTTGCAAAAGTGGGGGCAATATTGTATTTTTATGCATTTGGAGAGGTTTTAACAAACATACTAGTCAAACATATGACATTAATAATTGTCCTTTCTGCGTCACTGCTACGATAGACCCTACCGTGTTAAAAATGAGGTACAAATTAATGAAATTTAATGGCAATTAATGGGGGCCGAACGGGGGCAAAATTAACAAAATCATCCTTATATTTAAAAAAAAAAATGTTATAATTTTTTTTTTTACCATGGGAGACTGTAAATTCAGAATAAGTAAAAACCTGGTAATTGAGAGGAGGAGGGATTTTCGTTTTCTCCTCCTGGTAGCTGATGATAATCCTGCTCACTTTCATTTCCTCCTCGCTTCCCAAAAATCCAGAACAGATCAAAAACCCTCCCTGCTCAACTTAGAAATGTTAAAATATATTGCACTCCTCAACATGTTAGAGAACAAAAACACTATTTTAAATGCGTTTTGCATCTTAAAAATCCAGATGCTCATTGTCCTAACATGTTGCACTCTAAATTTAGGTACCTTTCTTCACTATGGTTTCACCCTTATCATTCGTGGGAGCACCTGACGCAACTTGTGTGCCTTCAGGTTCTTCTTTACTTCCAAAACATCGGAAAGGATTTAGGGTATTCCCTACTCTCAAATAACAAAACGCAGTTTCAAAATTTTACCCCAAGTAAAAATAGATGCAAGTGCATGGAAAATAAGAAAATATTGTACCTGAAGGAATGAAAATGCTGAAGCATGATAAACATCCTAACAATCCCATTGGTTTGACATCAGGTTTCTTCTTCCTACGAAGAATAACTCTTGTAACCTGAGAACTGCAATTAGGACAGTATATATTGTGTGTATGCATTTTCCCAACTGCCCTCTCGAATTCCAGCTCTAGGATTTCCTCTTCATTTTCTTCTACTAAATCAAGCCTTACATGTCCTTTGCTTGAACCCTCTGAACTCATAATTCCTTCCTTTTGTGATGATCCCGAAAGTGGACCATCCAAAATAAGTGTCTTGTTTATGACAGAATTTAGAATATTTGGAATATCGTCGACATCCACCACACCTGGATTTTTCTCCAAAAGAGACCATTCAATTCCAGTACCTGCAAACAAGACATCACTCATGAGGTACATCGTATTAAAAGTTCGTTTAAATAAACGTGCCTAGTTTTGAAATCGCAAAATTAATTTGTGAAATTTGTATCCGAGTATTTTGGTATGAATAAATTTGATCTGTGTCTAAGAGATTAAGCTTTTAGATAAAATACTTAACACTTCCTATTACTTTATCTATTATCAGAATTCTGGTTGTATAAACTGACCTCTAATGCCAAAATTGAAAGATCTTTGATGAAAATGATCGACCCAAGAATTTCTAATTTGGTAGGTCCAAATGCAGTGTCGACATTTCCACATTCCTTCAGTCACAAGGAAGAATTGTTTCCAATTTTACAAACTATTAAATCCCAAAACATTACATTGTCAAAAGGTATGCTTAAGAATATATATGTTTGTGTGTATCTAGATTAAGCACGTGACAACCAGGAGCCGTATTCTTACAGAAATAATGGCTCAAGCGATAACTACATAAAGGAGACAACTACGGCATGCAATGGTACTATCCCATTATTGGGAAATTAGTTTGGTCGTCTTAGTTTAGCCTACCATTCTATCTTGTAACAAGTTTTAGCAAAATCTTGTCACTCTTATGAATAGGAGTTTCTTAAGCTTAGATCAGTGTAAGACGCTAACCATCGAAGTTATTCTTTTTTTAACATATATATGAATAGGAGTTTCTTGATTCTAATATATTACATTTTCTTTAGGAGTTTCTTCTTAAGAAAAGCTGACACGACATGTTTGATATGCGTTAACCTGCCATTAGAGATGGTACACATTCATTTATTCAAATGTTATCTTCGACATCCCTCTCACATATGCATGTTATATTCATATTATTCATCAAATCGGGACATGTTACAAATTTTTAAATAAGTGAGAGCGAAACTTGAAACAAGATCTTCACTTGGCTCTAATACCATGTTAATAACTTCATCTAAAGAGAGGTTAGAGTGTTTGGACAATATTTATGTTAGTAAGAAATAAAAATAATAATAAAATCTGTAGCTGGTTACCTGCTTTCTCATCCACGTAGACACTCTTCTTAGCCTCCTCGTCATCGTTATGTTCTTTCATCTCATGACTACTTTCATGATCAGTAATGATCGAATCGTTTGTCATACTGTTGTCTTGACGGGGAGTCGTCCCTCCTCCTGAAAGAGCCTCGTCCACCTGGTGCATTACTTCCATCTTACCCTCAGCACCACCAGAAAATACTCACCTGCCCTTTCGTTTTCTCTTAAGCTGAGAGAATGGCCAATTTCGGTTAGCCTCCAAGTCCTATATATATACACACACACACTTAGGGTGCGTTTGATTGCAAGGGTGGAAAATGGGTGGAAAGAAAATATTTTACAGGAAAAAGATTTGCTTAGAAAATATTTTGCAGGGATTATGATTTCAAGTGCGTTTGATTGGTATAATTTTCCATCCGGAAAATTTTTAAATTTTCTATTCTTTTGGCTTTGTTTTACATGAAAATTGTCCATTAAAGTGATAATTTTTTCCAAAATTAGTTATAAAATTTGTTTCCATTACCAAAAAGTTAAAAAAAAAAAAAACGAAAAAAAAAATTGTTCTTTAAAAAATCATTTTTTTCATCAAAGTTTAGTATTCGTTTGACTTTGTTTTATCTGAAAATTGTCCATTAAAGTGAAATTTTTTTTTTTATAATTGAATATGACATTCGTTTCCATTTCCAAAAAAAAAAAAAAAGTCAACTAGAAAATAATTTCCCACCATTTTGGTGGGAAAATCATTTCCTCCAAAATAAAGCAAATAGGCGCGTGAGGCTGCTGGGAAGAAAAGGTTTTGCCTAGGAAAAAATGGCTATCAAACAACACAAATTGAGTGGAATAGGAAATCATTTTCCATTTTCCATGGAAAATAAGGCAGGTCAAACCCAGCTTTAAGATTTGTTTTGAAAATTTCAATGCATTCTGAGATAAAATAAAGGCTTTTGTCCGTTGGTGGGACCTAATTGTTAGATCATTAGTAATTGATATTTATTATAATAGGACAAAAGTTAGAATAAGAGCTTGTTTGGGAATGATTAAAATTCAATTAAAATTGAAAATATAGCTGTTATTGGGTCACACTTGTCTAATAAAAGTCAACTCCAACGGCTATATTTTCAATTTTAATCTGATTTTAATCACTCCCAAACAAGCTCTAAGTGTTGTGCATTGAAAACGGTACAGTGCTCTACGCTGGGTTTTCCGTTGTTTGCCATCCAATTGTTGCGACGCCTGTTTCCAGTTACTGTGGTGCCTCAACACTGATTTTTTTAAAACAAAAGAAAGAAAATAAATAAAAATAAAAATTAAAGATAAGGATTAAAGGGCAATCAAAATCAAATCTTAGCATTAAAGTTTATTTATGATTATTAATTTTTTAAAAATAGATTAGTTGAAGCAACACGTTATCAAAGTAACCTCTATTGCCTAAATTAATTTATTTGGAATATTATGAAAGTTGTGAGTACATAATTCATGCGGATATTCAGGGCCCAACTGAATGACAATATTTGGCTGAATTATTTGCACATATGTGGTAATAAAAATGTGATAATTGTAAAGTTTTCCATTATGTGAATATTGAGTCGGTCCAAAGATAAACTTGATGTTTGACTAGATTTATTGTCAATATTTGATTATTACACCAAAAGTATCACTTACAATTCTGTTCAAAGACTAAATATCAATATTTTGTCCGATCTCTTGTGATGGGGTTCACGATTACTTGAATTTATTGATTACTCAATATACATTCTCATGTGAACATGTTAATTAAGTTTAAGTTCTCTATTCACTTAATCCATCAACTTCTGCAATATTTGCCAACATCTATTTAGTTCTCATGCTTTAATTAATGTTTAAGGACTAGATAGAGAACGTTTGTATTGTTCTTGGCTGCATGGAGAGAAACATTGCTTTAAGAATAGAACAACCCACTACTTTTACATATAAGAGTTTCACTAATAAAACGGAATTTGAATTAGCGGGATCGTTCAAACTGCATGAGAAGCGTGGAATTCTAGTTACACTCAGGGGCGCTAAGGTAACTATAGCTAAGAAGTTTCTTGAGGAAATTGAAGAAACGCTTTGCAAAAGGCAATAAGGCCGAAACTAGCATGCCTTTTGGCGAACTTAGTTTCGCTAAAGTATAAGGGTAAAGGAAACATAAAAGAGTATAACATGGAAATGTCTTGTCTTGCTTCAAAATCAAAAGCATTAAAGTTTGAACTGTCTGATGATTTGCTCGTGCATTTGGTTTTAATTTCTATTCTTGCATAATTCAGTCAATTTAAGGTCAGTTCCAACTGTCAAAATGGGATATACACTCTTAATGAAATCATTTCGTGTTGTATACAAGAAGAAGAAAGTCTAAATCAACAGAGAATTGAAAGTGCTAACTTGGCAAATACATCTAAGGACAAGTTATAAGGAATAAGAAATCTACATCCAGTTCAGTTCAATATAAACAGCGAAATGTTGAAAAAGATAAATCCGACTGTTACTTTTGTAAAAAATTTGGATATATAAAGAGAGATTGTACTAAATACCACGCTTGCGTGTAAAGAAAAGTACACTTATCACTTTTGGTTTATTTTAAAGTTAATAAAGTGTCAATACCTAGATACACTTGGTAGATAAAGTTCTGCACCATTACTCACATAAGTGTGTCTATGCGAGGTTGCATGAACTGTCAAACTCAATCGATGTTGAATGATTAATCTATGTGGAGTAATGACAAATCAGTCAAAGTTGAGGCTATAAGGACCTCAGATTATCATTAAAGACTGATTATATTTGAATTTGAAAGGGACATTTGCAGTATCGTCTTTTAGACGAAATTTGATTTCTATTTTTATATTGGACAAATTTAGTTACTCTTGTTAAATTGAAAATAGTTAGTTTGATCTTTTTCGTAATTCAAATATTGTGGATACCAGCTCTTTATTCGGTTATGATAACCTACATCTGCTTAATACGGTTGCATATTATAAAGAAACATTGCATGTGAATTCACATGGTATTAAACATAAATTAACCAATGAGAATTTTTATTTCGTTATGTCACAAGCGATTAGGTAGCATCTGTAATACCCCGAACTTCACATCACATTTGACCAATATAATTAATTCATTCCATTATATTCATAATGCCATTTGCATCAATTTTCT